TCAGTTCCCAAAGCACGCTGCTGCCCCCTACTGTCCAAAGTGTTATACACTCTCCTGGCAACAGGGAACTTACATGACATTGTGGCTTTAAATTACACCAATAAACCAGCAAAATAAAACATGCAAAATAATCTCCATATATCACGACACTTAACTCACAATTGTGACCACATTTCTGTGTGGATCACAGTGACAGCGAGGAGGTTAACAAGAGGAAAGAGCAAACCAAAAGTAACCTTCATCAGACTGAGGCCTGTTTCCATTCAGTGACACACTGATGAAGATCCTTCACTACACTTACACAAACTGTCTAAAAACACAGGTTGATCATGGTTGATGTGAATATTCAATAAATATCAATCAGAGTAATGAAATTCAATTCAATTCAATTCAATTCAATTCAAATGAAAGACTGTAAAATGAGAATGGCAGCAGCATTTTTGATGATGTAATAATATAGAAGAAAAATAACTACACTTTTAATTTCGACAAAACAGAGCATCAGTACTGAGCAGCTAGTGATCCAACTGAAAACTGAACTTATGCTTCAAACTTCAGCAGAGCAGAACAAGGCAAATAATTACTTAGACAGTAAAAAGTGACTGAAGCCTAACACTCATGTTACAGGTGATTCCTGATCTCTTATTGAAGATAATATTGACGATAAAAAAAAGAACGAATTTCTGACTCACCACTTTGCTTTTGCTTCAGTTTCCATGTAACAGACACCACTATACACACCAAGAAAACTGCTCCAACAGTGATACAGATAATTAATGTGGGAACTCTGATGTGTTCACCTTACAGGACAAAACAAAAAAAAACATATACTGGATTAGAGTTAGATGTGTGTGATTTTACCACTAGAGGGAAAAATTAAAGTGAAAAACATTTTTAAAGTCAAAATCATGAAATATTTTCTGAATGTGAATCATTATTACCTGGAACATGTATGTGTGTCTCTCTGCTCTGGTTGGTGTTCCTCTGTTGGACTCTGCAGGTGATGTTGTTGCTGTGTCTCTTCTCCACAGTCACTCTGCTGCTGACAGTATAGAGGTCATCAGGACCTTTGAGGGTCTCTGTAGGTCCAGCAGAGAGGAGGTTTCCCTCACCGTCCAACCACAGCAGCTCAGGCTCTGGATACCAGCCTACAGACTCACACTGTAACACCACCCTGCTGCTGTCATTTGACATCACCTTTATGACGGGTGTTGATGCTGAAGCTGATGAAGGGGGAAGAAGGCATTGTAAACTCTTTTCCACTGATCATACAGCTTCTTTATATTTTAGATCAGGTTTGTTTAAATGTTTTGACTCACCAACATTGAGAACAATGGAAGCTTCTTCAGGTATCCAGGGAATGGAGCATCTGTACGTTCCTTCATCAGAGAGTTTCACTTTGAATATTTTAAGGGAGACATTCCCTTTGATCAGTTCATCCACAAAGACTCGTGTACGAAAGTGATAAGATGGATTTTGGTTCTCAAACACCAGCCGTCCATCTTTATGAAGATGGACAACATCTGGGTCCGCACCAGGTTTGATCCAGTTCACAGTCTCAGAATTAGCATCAACAGCAAGTTTAAGCTGACATGGAAGAACAACATCATCACCCATCATGGCTACAACCTGAGATGGACACACCAGATGAGATTTTCCTGCAAGGACAAATAAGAAAACAGTAGAAGTAGATGAGATTGTTACGTGAATATTTTGTGTTCCAAAACAACAACAACAAAAATGTAGTAGAAAAAGAACATTCCATCAGCTGTTTGCTAAAATCGTTTCTTCACAATTTTCATTGCACATGTAAAATGACAATTGGCAACATGGCGCCTGTGTTCAGCTTGGCTGCTGTTGCTGCTCTGTGTTTTTGTCGACTGCTTCAGTATATTGTTTTTTATCTTGTCATCTGATCTGTGATATATCATGAAGGTCTAATTGCTACTTGGATCTACAGTTCACATACATTGTTGAGTATCAAAATATGTATGGAAAAAACTTTTGACAGCTGGCAGAGCTACCACCAGGCTTTCCCTCCGCCGTTTGTCTACCCTCCTCCTTCTCCCGACTACCGGTACCTGTTCTTAGCTCCAAACAATAACCCAGGAGCAAAAATAAGGTTAAGGAGATCGTCTAGAAGGGGGTGTAGGTCTGGTGTCCAGGCTAAAAGGAAACGTGTCCGACAGAGGGGATTTCTTCCGCTCCATGGTAGAGAACGTCTCCGGTATTTGGTACCGGTTCCCCTCCAGGAAGCGGATAAGGCCGATCTGTTACCACCTACCCAGCTTTTCATCACGGGCGAACAGAACGATTACCTGGATCGGCGTCTTGTCTGGAGATGCGGGAAGTTTTCACTTTGGCCTATCATTCTACAAGACCACAGTTCCACAGCTAGAGGTACCGGGAGACTACGTCCTCTTTCCAGGTGTCTGCTGTCAATTCCCCGTCAATCAGCTGTTGTTGACGTCAGCCTGTCACCTCCGCTTCAGATCGCTCTCCTGAACGCTCATTCCATAGCCAA